ACTCTACCCCAAACATCCTTGCCATTTTGGCGACCATCTTAAATGTATTAAAAAAATCACTGCTGATTTACTACATTCAAAATAATGAACGGCTAGATAGATATTTCTAAGAGAAGACAATTTATGGGGATGTGGCTGCCTCCTAAACTTCCCGGTTTGGTGTTTTGGTGTTTTTTGTGAAAAAATCTTTTTTTTTTTAAAGTACTACTCCTTTCTATGCCAAATTCAATCTACAAGTTAAACAATGCGGCTTGTGTAGGGTCTTCTAAGTTGAATAATAATAATGAGATTTTTTGGCCTCACACGCCTCCTAGAATTCAGCAAATATGTGTAATAATTGTATTTTTTTGTTGCAGTATGATACTTTATAACTTAGCTGTGCATACTTGCTATACAGAAGGTATATTTTGAGAAAAAGAATATTTTTTTGTACTCTCAAGCTGTTAAACTTTACGTGAAAAAGTATGATGAATTTCACAAAATAGTCATCTCTGTCCATTATGAGATGTGATTTCCGTCATGTGGTGGTTGAAATAAAAATCACTTTTGTACCTAAATCAAAAGCAAATAAATAGTTATTTGAATGAGACAAATTTTATCATTGCAATTTTTGTTTCCAGCAGGTGCCTAGAGACTACGTGCAAATGGTCAAGAAATGGTCAACTTCAGTTCTTAGACTTGTCGTTATCACGAAAGCTAGATTATGTTTGCTGGCTATATAATCCGCCATCAGAGAAACCCCTGCTTAACTTCCTTCCGGGCATAATTAGACCGTTAAGAACGGCGCAACCTGCGCATATGACTCCGCGTTTCCTTGTTCTGCGCATGTTCTGCGCATATGAGCGTAGAAGCTGGTTCGACATGTGCGCAGGGGTTTATCTATGTAGCAGCTTCAAAAAGATAGCGTTTTTGAAGAAAAGAACACAAAATCTGTCTCCATTTTATATGCACTCAAAGTGTCACATATTCTCATGATTTTAGGCAGCAGATATGGCCTTTACGTAGTTTGTTCTGCGCTAAACAAACTTGAAAAAAAAGTGCCGCCATATCCACGAAGTGAATGATGATGAGTGGGCGAAGCTCTGGAGGAAAACCTGGTGAACCATGAATCTTCCGTACATTTTGCCTACTCGATTTTATTACAATGCTCCCCCTAGCGTACGTCGCCGCACTAAATCGAACGATTGACTTCCACCAATAACACCTGCCATATGTGACATCATTCCTATTTTATAACATCTCGCATCTTTCATCATCAACTACAAGTACCGCCGTCTAGTTTATAACATCTTGCATCTTTTCATCATCAGCTACAAGTCCCGCCATCTAGTGAGCACTGAAAGAACTAAACGAGAGGTGACTACATGCAGGAGACGGTGCCGACATCTAGTAAACACTGCAAGAACTAAACGAGAGGAGGCGATATACAGGAGACGGTACCGCCATCTAGTGGACACTGCAAGAACTAAACGAGAGGTGGCTACATACAGCCGACGCACAGCCCACGCCTTAAGGAGCTTCGCCCCTAAAAGTTTGTGCCGGGCTGGATCAAAAGCTATTGGCGAAATAGAATGCATTATGGTGCTCCGTTAAACATGCTTCCACGTTTGCAGATTGTACAGCTACAGTGGTCTATTGTGTGCCCTTGTGGCGCCTGTACCGTTAATTAGGGATGCAATCGCTGAGTTGAATCCAAGGGTGGACGTGTCGACCGGCCCCCTGATATGCACCACGAAACCATTTAGAATAGAACATAAGTGTTGTGGCTCGGGCGAGCTGGTTATTCATGCACTTAGTTTGTAATATAGTGGCACATATGAAAAGAAAAAAAACAGAGAAAGACTAAAGTTTCTAGCGTTTGCTCGGCAATATATGCGAGGAGGTTGGTCGGCGTGGCGGCGCCACCTTCTAGGGGGAGAGAAGGTGCGCTTTAGGCGTCTTCTGATGCTTATTTCTTTTTTACGTCAGCTTTTGTCACGTCATCCGGTGCCTCGATTTCACGTAGTGGTCACAAATAGGTGACCAGTAAAAGAGTGAGGAATTGTGGGTTGCACCGTCTCCTGCCGGCTTCCGGTTCGAGAAGAGTACACGATGGCGAACCGCTCTGTCGCAAGCCTCAGAATTATCAGGATTTGCGCACGCGGTCACCCGTTTATCTTCATCCAGATAAACCATGGTCGGTTGTTCAGCAATTGGCTGCTCCAACTTGAGCGTGAAAGTCAAACGCATGAATCGATTGCAATGAAACAAAGCCAGAAAATTGAGGTGGGCCATGACTGTAAAGAGAGCCACAGCGACAGGTATAGCCTTCGAGCACGGAACGTTGAAGCCAGAGTGTGCAAAGACCATTTTATAATAAGTACGTGTATATTCCGCACTAATAAAAAGCTTATATGCAAGAATTTGCTGCGAATATTATATCGAGAAATAAATTGTCATGCAGGGGCGCCTAGCAAATATATTATGGGAAGGCGTGAAAAATTATACCTGCCATACGAGATGAGCACCAGCCATAGCACTCGTATACATGACAAAAAAAAAACGCGAAAGCTTGACTCAATCGAGAGTAAGTTTACACAGAGCGCCGGGCGAGCCCATTGGCGTTTATCTGAGTCAAACTGTGCGCCATGGCGGCACACAAAAGAAGAAGTGCGTTAAACAAGCGCAGGGTTTCGCCATCTATGTCTGACTGCATTGTTTATGTGCCGCCGTGCCCCGCAGCTTGACCAACATCGGCGTTCGAACAAGCAAGTGGCTTCGACTAAGAGATACTTTTTATAGCAGGCTGAAGGTTAGAAAAAATATCTCTACACGATGAATAAGTGCCGCTCTTTATGCCGATAGACTGACAATGTGGGTCGAAGCAGCGATCCCGAAATTAACTCTTAGCACACTTCTACAGTCATCCCCATTCCCTGAGATCCATAAAATGGTGATTTTTTTGGTGAACAACTGTGATACGATGTTCGCTGAGACTAAAATACATTACGTTCACCGAGATCAGCTGACCATGAAAGTTATCGAAGCATTCCACACCGCAAAAAGAAAAGTGTATTACCTAAGCATCGGTTAGTTTGGGTGATTGCGAATTGTAGTTTTTGGAAAATATGCTGTAGCCTGATCGTCATTGTAATGCGTGATACACGATCATGTTGTGTATTAAACGTGTTTTTTTTTCTACCAAATAAACTAGTTGCGAGTGTGGCGGTGTTTGTTTTATTCCTTTTTTGCTTGTCTCCGTGCGCTGCTTCATAGATAAGCGCGAAATATACATTGTGAGCTCGGTTTTAAAAGAGCATGTGCAGCGAAAAAAGAGGAACCGTAGCCAACGACGCGCAGTTATCTACGCCTCTGGCATTCATAGCGCTTTCATCATAATACTTCTCGCCACCTTTATTTCTTGGTCCGAAAAGCGCGGCCTCGCCAGCCATGTAGCCACGTCTCTACAGGCGACAAACACGCCGTAAGCCCGCCGCCGCCACCGGCCCCTGCGGTTAAGCTCCATGGCTGTTTCTCTTAAAACGACGTGGCCATGCCATGGTTCACCCGCGGTTTGTAAGCACAGTGCACCTAAAACAGCGCACTTGGTTTTCTGCGACAGTTTTAAAATATAATTTCTAGAATACTCAAAATATATTTTGTGCGCAGAAGGCTGGATGACGGTAGTGTGATGTAACAATTTATTGTACACAATTAGCCATTGTGCGAACCACATTCAGGTGCGTTTAGCAAGTATGACTGCATATCAAGGACACGCTAGTTTTTTTCGGTCTTTCATTCATCTCTTAAGTGCTCGTACGAATCTTCAGAGTCGACAGGCCGCACTGAATTTTCCTTTTGCTAAAACCGCTGGGAAAAGGTGTTACTGAATGCCGTGAAATTTTGCGCAGCTGATTGAGAATTCTCTCGCCCAGCTGATATTTGCTAGAATTAGCCATTTGCAACTTCGTTAGAAAAATTACGTTGGCCACATTCATGAATGTCTCATTTACTTGATGAACGTCACTGCCACTAGCTTGATAAAATTTGAACAAAAAAACCTAGAACTTTCATAAGAACACATCGAAATATCGAGGCAATGCTTGCTATACAATAGCCATGAGTGGTATTGCTGCGGTCACCGCAGGAGCAAAGGTTTACTTCAGTCACCAGCAATACGTCCATTGATCGGAGAAACCAATTTCCCGCATTACAATCTAGAACTCTTCACACGCGCATCGAATCGACCAGAATTGGTTTTGTCAGTATCTGGTGCTAATAAGTAATAACTGTGCTTGTTTCGTTTATTTGTTCGTGCTACCGTTTTTTTTTGACAATTGTGAATGAAACAGCCAGCTTAACGGCTTAGTGAAACGAAGCGCTGGTAGTATGGTAAACAAAGGAATCACAGAATAATCCAACAATATGTTTGTTGTCTTTTCAGTCAACCAAGATAGTTTTTTGGCCCTTTATTCGTGAAGATGGCGATCTTCTTTCTAGTGATTTCGCATTTGCTGTGGTTATAACTGCACAGTAATCAATAGCATGTCGTCCTGCAATATAAGGTGACCAGATCCGCATTGGAGTATTTACGCAAAATTTTTCGCATGAAACTGCAGGTGTGGTCCAGACAAAACTCGAGCCTAGGGCAGCGACGTTTTTTTGCTTGTTTAGAAAATCATATATATATATATATATATATATATATATATATATATATATATATATATATATATATATATATATATATATATATTTGTCTTGAGAAGCCTTGCAGAAAGCAATACAATAGCCTGAAAAGGCATGGCTGGATATATAACAAAGAAGTTTTGACACTCTGAACACTGTTGCTTACTCAAAAATTTACAAAGTTTATGAAAATTAAAATGGAGAAATTTGTTTTTTTTTTCATTTTCATTGTTCACTGGACGCTCTTGCTTTTGAGAATTGTTAGAGGAACAATGCTTGGCGGGGCTTAGCTGGGTGCCCTGATCTCAAATGAAAGCAAGCTCAACCGTGCTGGGTACATAAAGCGAGAGTGCGTCCAAGAAAATCCACCTCTGTCCAGCGATAGCCGAGACTCACTGCTGTGGGAGGTCACTTCACCAAAGCTATGATGAACCTTTTCGTCACTGTGGCCCTCATATCATTGGGTAATGCTTTTTATCTTGTCTTTGCCCCACTTCAAAAAATTTTCATACCATCTAATTTATAATTTGCCGTAGAACGCACATTAGTTTTGTGTGGAAACATTTTTATTCAGTCTGCTGTGCCACCTGTAATGGTTAGGGCTCTAGAAATTCTATTTGTTCAAGTGAAGTCAGTATAAGCATATTCGCGAAACGCTTCTCAGTCATCCTCCGCAATGAAATAAGGTTATTTGACTCTTGCGGTAAGAACCGTTGATCCGCCCCGCCGCGGTGGTCTAGTGGCTAAGGTACTCGGCTGCTGACCCGCAGGGCGCGGGTTCGAATCCCGGCTACGGCGGCTGCATTTCCGACGGAGGCGGAAATGTTGTAGGCCCGTTTGCTCAGATTTGGGTGCACGTTAAAGAACCCCAGGAGGTCAAAATTTCCAGAGCCCTCCACTACGGCGTCTCTCATAATCATATCGTGGTTTTGGGACGTTAAACCCCACAAATCAATCAATCAAGAACCGTTGATCAAGTATGACTCTGTCCGTAACACGCACTCGTGAAGTTGACAGGTCTAGACCAATAGGGAATCATGTTGAAAAAGGCGAGGCCTCAGTTAACGCACAGAATTGTGATTTATTTGTGCTGGCTTGAGCAAAACAGACGACGACAAAGAATTTACATTCACAAATGTTTACGCAAAACTGAGTAGGTTTAAAAACATCAAGATATCGGTTAAGAAGCACTGACCTACCTACGGGCTGGTTTGATGTCACCTAAAACTTTCGAAAATTGTGGTACATCAACATGCCCAATGGTATTCGAAGCTTTCAAGGTAGCCACTGACCGCATCATTTCTGATGTTTCGTGAATGCCAACGAAGACATATTGCGGAAATCAAGAGACTAGTGATAGGTGTTTACTTAAACTTTAAGAACGCGAAAAAACTATACGGCAGCCAGGAAAAGGATGAGACAAGCGCTGACTCCCAACTAAACGTTTATGGGCAAGAAGGCTGTTAATATACCCGAGTGAACAAAGAGGTGAAAAATAACAGATGTAGATACGAAATGTCATCAACAACCACTGAGCCTGCTATGCCGACCCTCGCCCCAAAAAAACATAGCCCTCTTTCTGACAGTGCAACTGATGGCTTGTTTACGCATGTACTTCTTGTCAATAAATTTTAGTTGAAATTCAGCGCTTGTTTCGTCCTTTTCCTGTCTGCCGTGTATTTCTTTCAAGCTGTTAAACCTTAAATATGCTAAACTAACTAGCCCCATAAGCCGCTTTATTAGGTGTTGAGCAGCTTTTCTAATTGTACTTATTGTTTTGTTTTTTTCGAATGAGTGATTCATGACATAAATACTGCCCCCGTAGAGTAAAGCGTCAGACTGCGGTGAGTGCCTTCTAAGTTGTTGCACAAAAATTGAAGAGACGTGACTAAATACAATAGTGACCACTTACTGTTTGTGAGATACCAATATTTATGAGAAAGAGACTGCATTCACAGGGACATTGTTCGCGGCAATCGACAGTATGCGTGTAATTTCCTCTACAAATCAAAAGAACAACACTGAATGTTCGAAAAATCCCAGAGGAGAATATTTCAATAGAAACCTAATATCCTTCAGTTCTTTCATTCTGACATAAGACGTGTACTATAATTTCCCCTTCCCTCGTGCAACGTTCCACAAATACACTCTTCACGAGATCTTCAGATGCATTTTACGCGAACCTATCAAGTGTAGAATTTTCTTCAAGGTAAGCCACATTGATACTTCACGCGCTTTTGGTCACTTAGCCACTGGTAAACAATATTATTGTGTGAAGATGTTCCGAATCCAGACTTGGTCTTGTTACCACTGTGTCTATTTAGATAACGTTTCTTCGTCTTACCTTGGCTTGTTTGCCCCGTTTTCTTCAGAAATAAAAAGTAGCACTTTAAGGGACCCTGAATTGGTTCATCCGATTTTCGCGAACGCAATAGACTGGTAGACCAAATTTGAAGGCTTATACATAGACCAATTTCAGCTCTCTAGTGGTGGCAGTAGTGGTGAAGCTTTGTTACCCATGTGGTGGCCCTTAAGGACACTAGGTAAGGTGTCAGGTGTAGAGGGCGCCTCAAAACTGTGTAATTTATTAAAAGGCTAGAAGGCTGCGAATCGCTACACATCTATATGACTCAGCCAAACGCGTTGCCGACCACCTATTCTAAGAGCGACATGCTCTGGTATAGCGACGTCACTCTGGCTGTTGTTTTGCGGGTTCCAATCCCGGCTGCGGCAGCTGCATTTCCAATGGAGGCGGAAATGTAGTAGGCCCCTGTGCTGAGATTCGGGCGCGCGTTAAAGAACCCCAGGTGGTCGAAATTTCCGGAGCCTTCCAGTACGGCGTCTCTCATAATCATATGGTGGTTTTGGGACGTTCAAACCCCACAAATTAATCATCAACCCTGACTGCTGTTCTGAGTGGATGTGAAATACGTGAAGGTGATATATGGTGGCACCTCTCAGTGTAGGCTTCCACCATTCCACAAGCTTCGTCTGTCTTGTCAGATGGAAGGTACGATGTTATTGTCCGTGGAAACTTTAGTATACGGTGCCGCTAAATTTGTGGTGCGAATGGTTTGATAATGCTCTAGTCTAAGCGCTAACAAACTTCAACAAAGCGTTTTATGGTGCCGTTCCAGATGCCTTCAATTGTTGCCCCCTATTTTGAGAGCCCCATGAAATAAAAGAGAAGTTTATAAAACCGCTCTCATGAGAGGAGTACAAGGTACCTAGATAGAGGAACTACTCTCTCTTAAGTTGGGAAAGGTGGGGAAAGGTGTTTTTGTAATGCAGGGTGTGAAGAGTTCCGGTAGGATCAAAAGTTCATAGTTGTTTTAGCACAGAGCACTCTAAAGGGTTAGTCATTGCAATTAGGTGAGCACGGAAGAGGCATATCTAAATGATTGATCACCACAGATACTTCTCACGACGCACACGACAAACGAATTAACAATTGTGAACTCTAATATCCCAGCTGGAGACATGTTGTAGCATTTTTGGACCTATATCATAGAAATGTTTATGAATTTCTTTTGTCAGCAGCAGAAATATGATGTATTAAAAGAGTTAGACATCTGCGGTTACTGTAGCGCTAATGTAGCAATGGCGGAGGTGTTAGTGAAGTTCTAAATTGTAGCCTTATTACTGCTCCACTGCTATGAAACCCGAACAAGTGCGTTGCACGGTGAACCAGGCGATTACTTCCGCAATCGTGGGCTTGCCGAAGCAGTGACGCCCCCATTTTCGCAACGTAGATAGCAAGCGGAATTTATAGACGCGTTGTCTCAGTTTTTAGGTAACTTAGTAAAAATATTTTTTGTTCATTTCATTAGCCTATACGATTGTACAACTAGTACGCCAGCTCCTTATGCATTAGTTTTGAGCTTTTTTCGAGCTTGTAATAACTACAGCATCACCATGAGAAATAATACAGTCGATAGGAGACAAGCCGGGTGTCTTAAGCGCTGCGTAGTTATTAAGAACGTAGTAATATATAAAAAAAATTTATCTTACCATGGTGCTTTGTTGGCGTACTGTGTAAATATATCTACACCAAGGTCCCCTGCAAGACAGAGCACATTTTGTTCAGTTGCTAGCCAAAAAAAAATGCGAGACCAGAGTGCACTTAGTTACTTGCATGTACGTTATTTGGGACAAAAAAGATGATTTAGACTCCAACCGAAAATTTTGAAGAAACCCGACGTCTCGGAACCAACCTGGTTTCTTCCTCAGCGGTGACGGCGTAGGCTACGTAGCAGCGTCGTATTCAAAGCACTCGCGGCCAGTGGCATGTACATTGAGCACTATCTGACAAAAAAGGGTTGCTACGTGGTACTCTCTGGGTGTAACCTCCTTAGTATTAGAAAGGTTTAGCGAGCGTGGATCCGCAGTGCCATGAATACAATGAACTAGTATACACCATGAACTCGAGGTGGCTTAAAGGTGGGAAGTAGGTACGAAGCGTAAGCCGTAAGAAAGTGTGCGTGTGCCACCTCTCCTTTAGACCTTGGAATGTCCGCTGGATGGCGGTGCTTCTGTATGGGGATAATCGATGGTCAAGTTCTTGATGGATGGAAACTTAACAGGATGAGCATGATTTATACAGGAAAAGGGGAGAAAGCTGACATAAACAACTACCAGTCCTATAACAGTGACATCAGTGGTCTACAGGCTGGCGATGCATATATAAAGGAAAGACTGCAGGCAAGGATAGAGGATGAGGGGTGCTGGGGGAACTGCAGAATGGGTTTCGGAAACACAGGAAGTTGGAAGACAATCTGTTCCCACTGACGCAGTGCATCGAAATAGCAGAAAAGGAACACAGGCCCCTGTGGCTAGCATTTTTGGATATCAAGGGAGCGTAGGATAGCATGGTTCAAGAGGAATTGTGGGGAATACTGGACACACTAGGCGTGGAACATGTAGTCACTAATCTTTTAAAGGGTATCAATAAAGGTAACAAGGTAGTTATAAAGTGGGAAAAACAGGTATCCAAGCCTGCAGAGGTACAACGGGGGCTTAGGCAGGGGTATCCCCCTGTCACCCTTATTATTCATGATGTACCTACAAGAATTAGAGGCCAAATTAGAGGGAAGTGGACTGGGCTTCAACCTCTCTTTAGTCAAACAAGGAAAACTTACTGATCAGGCACTACCAGCATTAATGTACGCAGATGATATAGTGCTAATGGCCAACAACAAGGAAGATTTGCAGGGATTGATGGACATCTGCGGTAATGAGGGAGATAGGTTAGATTTTAGATTCAGTTAGGAAAAATCAGCAGTCATGATTTTCAATGACAACGAAGGTAGAGAGCTTAGAATACAGGAGGTCACGCTAGAGATAACAGATAAATACAAATATCTTGGTGTATGGATAAGCGATGGGACCGAGTACCTGAGAGAACACGAAATATACGTGACGACTAAAGGTAACAGGAATGCAGCAGTGATGAAAAATAGGGCACTGTGGAATTACATTAGGTATGATGTTGTGAGAGGAATATGGAAAGCGGTCATGGTTCCTGGGCTGACGTTCAGCAATGCAGTCTTGTGCATGAGATCAGAAGTTCAAGCAAAATTAGAAATTAAGCAACGTGGAATAGGTAGGCTCCCTTTAGGAGCTCACGGGAATACACCAAATCAGGGAGTACAAGGTGATATGGGATGGACATCATTTGAGGGCAGGGAAGCTAGGAGCAAGATAAAATTTGAGAAGTGATTGAGATAAATGGGGGAGGAAGCGTTGGGCTAGGACGGTTTTCAGCTACTTGTACATGAAGAATGTCGATACAAAATGGAGGAAGCTAACCAGGAAATTGACTGGGAAATACTTAGAAAACAGCAGGTGGCTAAACCTAACAGAACTATCGGTTAAGAAGAAAGTGAAGAAAACGGAGTCGGACATGTGGAGAATGGGCATGATTAAGAAGTCCGCACTAGAGATCTATTGAACTTTTAAGCAGAAAATTGCCAAGGAAAGGATCTATGATAATACTTGGGGTAGTTCTCTACTGTTTGAGGCCAGGACGGGAGTACTGCGAACCAAGACATATCAGGCCAAGTACGAAGGGGTAGACACAGTATGCAGCGCGTTTGGAGAAAAAGAAGAAACTGCTGAACACTTGATAATGTTCTGTAAAGGGCTTCACCCTATAGTTCAGGATGATGGCGCAGAGTTTTTCAAAGCACTGGGGTTTAGGGACCAAAAGGGCAAAATAGACTTTAGGCGGGTAGACTTTACTAGAAAAAGGTTATCTGATTGGTGGCTAATGTCAAGGCACGAGTGAAAACTAAACTCTTCACTTCAAAGTACGAATCCTCAAACTCACTTTTTAAAGAAAAAAAATTAATCTAGTTTTTGTTTCTTTATGTGTTGCGGCTTAGTGGCGCTAGCCACTGCCCGATCTAAAAGGTACAGCCATATCTATCCATCCATTCATCCATCCATCCGTTGATATGTGATAAAAAAATGCGAGATGGCGGTACTTGGAGTGTTGAATAGATGGACGAACAAACACACAGACAGATGCATGGATGGACGCATAAAGGGCTGCAGGGGCGGATGCATGGACGAACGCAGGGACGGACGCACGAACAGATGCACGCACGGACGGGCGGATGGACACATGGACGGTCACACAGATGGACGCATCGACGGACGGAAGCAAGGACGAATGAACGGACGAATGCTTCAACCCACCCTCCATCATTCACTCCGTGGATATGCTGCCATTTTTTGTGTTAAATGGCAGGTCATTGACGTAGATTAAAAATAATAGGAGGGATAAGCCTGCTCCCTGGGGGACACCGGATGTAACATTAGAATTTTGCGAGTCATGAGAGTTGGCAGTTGTGTATTGTACGCGTCCTTTTAAGAAATGTTTTATCCACGTAATCAGTTTCGTGGGGATTATAAAAGTAGATATTTTGCAAGGAGGTGATTGTGTGGAATACGGTCGAAGGCCTTCGAGAAGTCGAGGAAGATGGCGTCAATTTGTAGAGGATCATCCTTATGTTGCAAGATATCAACGGTGAATTCTGAGAACTGAGTTTCGCATGACAATAGTTTCCTGAAACCATTATGGTGTGTATAAAAGAAGGTAATTGATTCAAGGTAGTTCATTAAGTTGGTTGCTACAATGTGTTCTAGTAGTTTGGAAGGTATGCTGGTTAGGCGAATTTTGGCGGTAATCAGTTGCTTGTGATCGGTCGCCAGACTTATGGATGGGAATGCTTTGTGCCTTCTTCCAATCGTGGGGAACTTCACCAGTGCTTAGTGATTGTTAGAACAGTAAAGTTAGTATTGCGCTTGGCAAATAAATTGTGTTTTTAGGTAGTTTGTTGCTGATTTGATCGCAAACGGCCGAGGAGGATAATTTGAGAGAGTTTATGAGAGAGTATATTCCATCAACGCTAATCTGGATATCAGGCATTCTGGTCAGCGAGTGGAGTGGTAACTGGGTAAATTTGAAGCTTTCAGCAGGTGAGACTACTGACGTAAAGAAGTCGTTAAGGACTGTAGCACATTTTTTAGTTTCGATTAATTCGTTGTCTACGCTTGACAGCTGGAGTTGCATTTAACGATTTGGCGGGAAGTTGAAAGAATGTACGAGGGTTAGACTGTAGGATTGATAAGAGGTCAGTTGAGAAGAATTGGTCCTTGGAGGCTTTCAGTTCCGTAATGTATTCAATAGCAGCCAATTTGTACTGATCCCAAACCCTGGCATTATTAGGAAGTTTTGCTTTCCCATAAAGGCTTTTTTTAAGTAGGCGCTTGAGGCATTGTGTAAATGACTGGTTATTTGTGTCTTTATTTACAAGGATAGTAGGGAATATTGTGACGGAGCTGTTTTTTATGTTTGTTATGTCTGTTTTTTATAATACTGTACTCATCATCGTGAAGGGTTGATCATGTTTTTACAGCACACTTGACATTTGCAGGCATCCAGACTGCGGCCCTATACCCTGGACTTTTCCAATCTGGCCTCTACGGTGCCGGATTGGGTGGTGCTGGCCTGTATGGTGGAAGCCTGAGCCCACTGGGAAGCTTTAGCTCACTTGGAGGCATTGGCTATCTCGGAGGACTTAGCCCCTTCGGAGGACTCGGAAACCCATTGAGCAGCCTTGGATACCCCGGACTCTTGGGCGGACAAGGTGGAAAGTTCCCGGGTGACTTACGACTAATCACCGAGCCCACCTCTGGCCTACCAGTCAGTGAGGCAGTATACGTTGGCCTTGAGCGCCAGCGTCTGGTACCTGCCCCATACCGTGTCCCCAGACCAGCGCCGGTTCCGGTTCCTCATGTAGTACCGCAGCCATTCACGGTTGACGTGCCTATCCCACAGCCATTCGAAGTTCCAGTTCCACAGCCAGTACCAATTCACACCTTGACTGAAGTGACCGACACCGCACTCATCGAACCCGTTACTACCGCATGTACGTAATGATGTTATACTTTTGATAAAATCGGTTCCTTTTTTCTTAGTAATTCCAAACAATCTTTATTTATAGCGAGCTTTTGACACGACATTATCGTAAATGAAGCAGCTTGTCAGAACTTTTGGTAAGCAGTACGCTCTAATTGGTTTGGAGAACAAACAGAAGACACATGGTTCTGCGTTAGTTAACGTGAAATAGGGCCGGATCACGATACGTTTTCCATTTGTGGTGGCACTTCTATGAATTCGCGGCTACTGCAACAAGTCGGAAGGTCGCTGAAGTAGAGCTCACAAACCACGTACTTCATTTATAGGTACGGCTGCACAGCAAAGTGTATTACTTATCTTCAGGTACAAATTAAATTGTCAGTGGATTGTCTGGGATCTCCCTGTGAAGCTTTATATAGTTGCACTTCTCCACTCTAGCGAAGCAGTGCAACTGTTGGAGCAGTGCCACTGGTGTAGCAGTGCAGCTAGTGGAGTCACATATCTTTACTAGCAGTGGTTTTGTCTTGACAAGTCGGTGCGTCATTTACAAAATAAATCAGATTGAAATACTGCACGCAAAACACAGTACGACCAGATCAGTGCTTAAATACTAATTTAAACTCATTGAATGAAAGTGCCTTGTTATAGTGTCAAGCTGGTGACATGGGACACTTTAAAACGTTGATTAAATTATTTTTTTTTTGGTCGTTCAGCACTGGTCCTGTCGCATTTTGCCCAAGGTATATGTACACTTGTAGCGTAACTTCTATAGCAGCCCATGGATCCAGTAATCGGAGGCTCAGTGCCACCATCACCATCTACGTGAGGAGGGGCCAACTAACAGCAAACAGAAACAATAAATAAAAATAAAACTAGACGTCACAACCGGAAGCGGCATTGACATCGCGAATGCGCCCTACATGGCGCGAAATTGAAGTTTTGTTTAGTTTCTAACCTTTTACGGGCCGTTTTTAATACGCAATTTTAAAGCGTCTTGTGGCTCAGTAAATACATGAGGGAGAGAAAAAGAACCAAAAATTGAGGAATCAAAGTTGCTTTACTAGTCTAATGTCGTACTTACAATATACAGTGAGAAAAATCTTCACAGAGGCGATTGTGAGACAGTGGTTTATGAGCACAATAGTGTATAATTAAAAAACTTACGTTGCCTAATCATTGAAAACCACTGTAGCGAGACAGCAGCTTTCAAATTATAGCTTTTACAGTCGTAGAACACAGCGTCTCGTTGCTTAGCGTGTCGTCTTCACCGTCACCAAAGGCCAGGGTGCGCTGGCCGTGTGCCAGTGAATTCAGTCAGCAGTTACAGTAGAGGCTATCAACACATTCTGTGAGCTAGTTTGCGCTTAAATGTAACACCAATAAACAGCATATGAAACGGAAACAAACTACTCAAGGTATGCTCAAAACCACCACGGAAGAGTGGGCGATGCCTGTTTGACTCGAAAATATGCCAAACCAAAGAACATGCCGAACTAAACGAAAGCCCTGATAGGAAATTTCCTAGATACGCTCCCCCTACCTTTATTTTTTCATTTAAAGGGCCAATAAACAACGCCAAGGTCCAAAAATTGTTGTAAAGAGAAATATGTGCAGTTTTACTTTTTGAACATGCTGACGCAAGAATTTCGCGAATACTTACTATATTAAAGAAGTTACAGGAGCTAGAACATCGCGTTCACTTGGTTTCAAATTTTCTATTCTCCTTCAGAGGAAGGGCAAAGCGTGGTCCGTAGTCGTGGCTCCACCCACGTCGACAATGTTACAAGACGTCAGCGATTGACGTTATTGGCGAACTCGATTAGTCGCAATGCACTTCCGCTTGCTGCTATGCCTGGTTGTCTTCCGTTTACCCGGTGCCGATGCTTTTTTGCAGTCCAGACGCTCAATTTGCAGCCGCCCCGCCGTGGTGGTATATTGACTGAGGTACTCGACTGCTCACCCGCAGATTGCGGGATCGAATCGCGGCTGTGGTGGCTGCATTTCCGATGGCGGCGGAAATTTTGTTGGCCCGTGTGCTCATACTTGGGTGCACGTTAAATAAACCTAGGTAGTAGAAACTTCCGGAGCCCTTCACTATGGTGTCTCTCATAATAATATGGTGGTTTTGGGATTTCAAACCCTACATATCAATCAATAAATCATTTGCAGCCGAAACGATTTGCAGCAAAGCTGCGTTCCGAAACGTGGAAATGACGTTGGCCTGATTTTTCTGAAGTTCAATTTTCTGGGAGCAAACTGCCATGTCATCCGAGAGCAGCAACACAAAACACAAATAATGCGCCCAATAGTTGGTGTGCCTATCAACAAGAGGCGCGACAGTCTGCCATGTCCCAAAGATGGGTCAGTGATGTGTCCCGATTTCGATGCATGGAGTGTACGCGGAGTTTCGCAAGTATGATTGAATAGATCGGTCGTATCTGTGGGTGGGAACAGTAACTGTCGTGGACTTCAAAGTCTTCTGCTTATTGAGACCTGGTTTATACTAATCGACGAGCTGCGTACTGCATCACGTCGCTGATCGCCGAGTTTTCGTGACTGCGCGTGCAAGGAGATTGGTCAGTCATAGGAAAAGAACGCGAGAATCGTTTTTCAAAATGGAGGCTGTGCGCTCCATGCAGCTCTGTAATAGTCAGAAAGCATGATCACTGTGGCCTACTCTACAAATTACCGAGCTTGTTTGGGAAGTGTAAAAAAGTCACAGCCTGTTGACTGGCCCTGCAAGAGACCTGACAAAAAAAATTGAGGAAATGTATTTAGCCAGGTGTGAGATACACCGTAAAGTAAGTTTATAGTTCACTTTAACAGATATAAAATCGCACCTTTTTGAGTAAAAAAATATATTGTGTCTTCAGTTTGGTTTTTGCCCCACTTCACCTAGTCGTGCTTCCAATCGTCGGTGGGCGCTGATGGCAATGGGCTTCAGACACTTTTTGTTCCAAGTTTCGCGACCAATGTAATTTGGCCATGTTGTGCTTTTCATCGTGTATTTTAGGCTGCTTATGTCGCAAAGGCTTTTGCTAGTCTATTTTGAATACAAAGTTGGTGGTAGAAGGCAGTAAGGTTTTCTAGAATAACATATAAACAATAACAGCTTGTTTACTATTGCTAACCACAAAGACATCATCCTACGACTCGGTGGCCTTTAGCTGCATTCAGATGAAGAGCACATAATACTCGTCAAAAAACTGATTTCGCAGGCACCACAAACTCACCCAACATTTGTAGTATTTTGACGCCTTTTTATATACTTGCTTTCCTCTTATTTCCAGATGTCACAGAGCACGGACCTATGATCAACCAGTTCCAAACTCAAGTACCATTCATGGTCTATTAAAGAGGAAATTCGAAGAGTGGTCGAATACAAGAAAATTGTTCATTTTGTATGTGCACTGCTTGTAATGCTTAAATAAAGAACAATATGACGACTAAAACCCGCGTTTGTGTGCGTTTTTGTACATTATTTGTAACATTGTTATCCATTTGCCATAAAGATGGCAGGCATAGAACCTTCGGAACCTCTGTTATCAACTCTATCAATCCGTATCACTGCTTTCGCACTTATCACACGAAACAGATGTTCGCAACAGAAGTCCACGCAGACAAAAAGAGAGTACAGCTAAGCAAGTTGGTATTGATAATCATATAGTCGCACGAGAAGACACAACCGACATACAGAACTACACATCACAAGGTATACCAATTGCTTTAATAAAAATGTGATTACACGAAGAATATATGTTGCAACCACACAGGCGCGAGGGTGGCATCCGGTGTGCAAAAGGGGTGCTAGCCAAAGAATACACATAACAGTAAGACTGAAACAAATTACACCTCTCCCCACTAAAGCGAACCATTTGAGGAGGACGTCTTAACTTGTGCTTTCAAGTATTTTGGGGGCGAAACTTTTTATAACAGCACCCGTTCGTTCCTCGTGCCCGTTGTAGTAAGTAATCGGTATAATATTTTTACCTCCAAGGTGGTGTAGGTGAGAGATTTCTTCTGTGCGTTGTTGAACAATAAAAGATAGTGCTCAATGTACATGCCAATGGCTCCTCATGGGGAATCAGAGACAGGAGCATTCGGCTTTTAGTTAACGCGCGCTGCGATCTCCATTAGTAGCCATTGGCATGTAAACTGGGCACCATCTGACAAGAAAGGATTGCTACATTATACTCGCTGGCTGAAACCTCCTTACTTTTAGAAAGGTTTAGCGAGCGTTGAGCCGCAGTGCCATGAATAAAATGAACTAGTATATACCATGAATGAACTCGAGGTGGTTAAAGGTGGGAAGTAGATACGAAGCGCAAGCCGTAAGAAAGTAAAAAGTAAAAGCCGCGTTGTCATGTCTCTCATTTCCCATTAGCAGCCATTGGCATGTACATTGAGCCCTACCTGACAGGAAAAAGTTGCTATGTTATACTCGCTGGGCATAACCTCTTTGGTTTTAGAAAGGTTTAGCGAGCGTTGGGCCGCAGTGCCATGAATACAGTGAACTAGTATATACCATAAACTCAAGGTGGTTAAAGGTGGGAAGTAGACCCGAGGCGCAAGCCGTAAAAAAGTGTGCGTGTTCCACCTCTCATTTAGTGCTTGGAATGTCCGCTGGATAGCGGTGCTTCTATATGAGGAGTATATGATGAAAAGATGCGAGACTGTGATACTTGGAGTGTTGAATAGATAGACGAACGGACACACAGGAAGATGCATTGATGGACGCATGAACAGACGCAGGGGTGGATGCATGGACGAACGCAGGGACGGACGCACAGATGAACGTGCGGACACACAAACAGACTCACGCACGGACGGGCGGATGGACGCATGGACGGTCACACAGACGGACACATGGATGGACGGAAGCAAGAACGAATGGACGGACGAATGCTTCGCCACACTCTCCATTATTCACTCCGTGGATATGCTGCCAATTTTTTTTTCGTTTGTGTTTCAATGCATGTTTCATTCGAGTGTAGAGTTGTGTTTATGGTATGTTACTTATGTTTATGCTTATGGTATGTTACGTATGTTACCCCACCCCCCAAAGTTGTGCATATTAGCGTGTGTGTTTCTGAAAGTGAACACCCAGCACTGCTAGGAGAGTGCAACAGAGCAAGCAAGCGCAGCAATATCTAGGAGCGTATAGCCGTGGTGGAGAGATAAATGGGCAAGAGAAACGGTGCGTGGGCAGTACTCCACCACTTTCTTTCATCACCTCGCGCTCAAGTGAGGAGATTAGGAAAAGTTGGCACATACGCAGTAACAGTGATCATGCCACATGCCATATCGAATTCCGCCATAAGCTGCTTCACATATAAAAACGTATGTCGCTCGCGCCTGCGCTGTTGGAACGTACTGTTACAATAAGGAGGTGTTTCTTGACGACACTTAGCCCCGGAGCAGTGAATGGAGTTAGTCTAAGGATACGACAACAAAGTCCTCGTCCTCTTTTTTTCTGACAGCTTCTTTTTTTATCTCCAGAAGCGCGATTACACTCGTCTCCTCCCGCAGACGAAGCCCGCTTGGCGAGTCAGGTGTGCCCTCGTTGTTTGCATGGTTTTAGCTAGGCGACATGCGTGACTTCAGTTCCTACAGAACGTCGAGAGCTATGTGTCAGGCACGGTTATGTAGTGCACCTCTCTCAATTGGCTTACAATGACATACAGACAATCGTAGCATGCTAAGAACTGGGTGTATACGCCACGTTTCCATAATAAATGGGGTTTCCCAGAACACAAAATCAACCGGGACACAGCTCACAGTACGGTGCTTACTGTCGTAGCGGGCCTTTGACGTGGTCTGAGAAATCAGCGTGTGAAATAGCACTATTCGGCAAGATTCCTCCGCCCGACAGATGCTGAGCTACTGATACGTTGTCAGGGATCATTAAAGAAAAGATGGTATCCAAATTTTACAATGTGAACGCGTGTAAGAAAGAAAAAATGGTTTATAACATCTTCTTTTCTGTCTATCTGTGTTCTAGATGTATGGAATAAAGGGAAAAATATTGTGGCTGTTGATATGATTGCACGTCACGAACATTGAAGGCATTTTTGCGAGTGTGTGGCTCACACGCTTTGTAAGTTCGTTTCTGTGACGTTGGCAGGGTATTCGATACTTGAAGTTAGAATAACGCGAGCGTGGAAACTCTTTCACTACGTCTGCAGTGAACTGGCGTCCAAGATCGCCGGTTATCACTAGGGCGGCTCACGTGGGAGGATGACAAAATGCAGCAAGACAAGAGAGACGCCACAAACAGTCGCACAGGGGATGGCGGGTGTCTCGCACTAGGGACTTTTGAAATCGAAGCACACGGCGACCCGCGGAGGATCAATGAAATGGCCCTTGATATAAATGGCCACTTGCTCAAAAGGCGATTACGCAGCTGGCACATGCTGGAGTTGACCAGAATATTTTTGTGTAGTGCTTGAGACACTGACACCTCTGGCAGCTGGCGACATAATGCCTGGCAGTAGGACGCATTCGTGGCCAGTTAAAACGCTCTTTATCTTTTTGCTGAGTCCGCACTGATCGAAAGTGGCCTGAAGTGGAGTCATCATGCATGCCACACAACACGAAGAAACGGAAACTTTCTGGCACCACCAGTAGCAGTAAAGGTCCAGTTACAGTGTAATTCTTCTTATACAGTACTTCATTCTCTATTGCAAAACCCAGCGCCACTTGGTACCTGCATCCAGCGCCATGCATGATTATGGGCCCATTATTGTGCTGGTGCCGGCACCTCCCAACGCTGATACTGGGATGCTGGAGCGGCAGCGTCCCAGTACCAGCGCTTGCAGGCAATGGATATTTTGCGTGAAATGGCTTAACGGGTGACGCCCATTCACCCCAAATATATATATATATATATATATATATATATATATATATATATATATATATATATATATATGTAACGTAAGAAGGTAGCGATGGTTAGGAGTTAGTAGTAGAGGCAGAGGAGGAAGAAGTGCTTTAAGAATAAACATGGGGTATGAGCCAGGCCACGTCGTCCAGTCATCGTAGCGTCACACGAGTCGACAGGATGAAGACCTCGCAACCACTTCATCGCCCGGCCATCATCATTGAAGACCTCAACGAGACGCAGTGACCGAACGCGGACCACAGAAGAACACGGACCACCAAGACCACCGAGCATCATGACAGAAGCATCAGACGACCTTGACATCCCTAAGTACACCGGATCAGCGGACGATGTACCCGTACAGGACTGGTTCAACCTGTTCGAGCTCCATGCCGCCGCTGCATCATGGTCGGAACGGGAAATGATCACCAACTTCACTGACTACATCTCCGGTGAGGCATTTAGGTTTTACCTGATACACATATTCGAAAACGACGAATCATGGCAAAAGATCAAAGAGGAGATGATTGCCCGTTTTAATGACTATGACCAAGACTTACTCATTGCCAACCATCTAGAGACAACTGCACACTATCGTCAATTTCCTAAGCAGTCCTCATGCATTCGAAAGTCCAGCGCGAATCGACAAGTGCCTCAAGACGAAGTGGCACATGCGTTTACTTACAGAAGGCCATGCGTATATTCGGAAAAACCTAACCGTCAAGCGCGCATCCCTTCTGCGCGAAAGTCAGCATTTCCGAAGTCTTCGCTTCAACATACGACACCAGACGTCGCTCACCCTACTGATGCATTTCATGCGTCGTCTCGCATACATGGTCCACCACCTGGTTTTCTACGGCGCAGCTCTTCAAAGGCTCCTAACGGTCACTATTCGTGTCATAAGGACGCCTTGTTCATGGTAGACCAGCTGACTCATGAGGAAAATGCGGAACAACGCCATGACGACTCAAAGAGTGAAAATCAGTCTTCACACATTAGATCAGCTTATTTTCCATCTAGCACAATTGGGCTACCTCCTGGTTTTCCGCCGCTTGGCTCTTTCGTCGCTCACAACGCCCACCTCACATTTAGCACGCTCACAATGGTCGGGATAGAGCTGCGGAGCTCGGAGAATACTCAGCCAAGCCCTGAACCTACCATCCAGATTCAGGAGCAAGAACCACTCGCAGCGAACAGCGAAGAAGCCCTTGATGATGTATCTGTCAACTCTGAAGCATTACCTTCATTACCCGAAATGCAGCACAACAGCCTAGAGACTACTACCTGCTCACTCGACACAACATTCAATTGCCCAGAAAGTCAGTGTCATGGTGAAAAAGGGCTGCCACCTCAGGTCTTTTCGCAGCAACATCATAAATGCCAGCAAGTCCAAGAACAGCAGCGATTCCAAGGGCTATACGAACAAGGACGACGACGAATGGAATCATCTTCGGAAGAACACACGCGGTTTATGGAAAGCCGTTTACAAACGTGTCAACCAAGCCAACGACATATTCAAGATTTCTCGCTCGAAACAAAGAAAGCATCGAATCCAAGATATTTTCCCAA